CCTATGCTTCCTGTCTTATTCAAGTGCATGTGTTGTGTTATCCATTGTAGTAAGAGCTGATGAGAACATTCCTGTTCTTCAAAAGTTCACCATTTGGTAGGAAGGATGGGTACTGCATGTTACAGCCACATCAAATCCTGTGGTAGTTCTAAAGTATTGTCTATTATACACTCTGTTCTTCACCTAAGGCCATATCTCACTTCTCTTATCCCTTCATGAGCCACCCTTGTCTGTCAGAGAAATTTCTTCTTTAAGATCAGTAAAGATGTCAGATTATGTCCCCCATGAAGCCTACCTTTGATTCTAATAGACAGTATTAATTATTCTTTCATGGAAGATTCCATAGTGTTTGATCATTGTTTTCTATTGTATTTCTTCAATTATTTCTTGCATACTTATTTATAAATTTCATTTCATGGTTCCATTATCTGTAGTCTAATCCTGCTGTTTATTAGCCTTTTTAATCACTCACAAAGAAACCTTTTCTTTGTGTTACTAATGTTGTATTTCATTTTCTTTGTGTTACTAATGTTGTATTTCATTTTCTTTGTGTTACTAATGTATTTCATATTCCTTGAGGGTTGATTTAGAGAAATTTTCTGCAGTCTAAGTCGAGAGCATGTCTTTTAAGAACAACTTGATATTAGATCTATTCAAGCACTCCAGTGGTGTCACTAGCTAAAAATGATTTTTTTGTTAATGTAGTATTTTTGTCATCTTCCTATGCTGGTGAGGGGCATATTTTTCTAGTATACTCTATGTCTGAGATTGCTATTTTTACTGGTCTTGATCATATGCACTGGCCTCATTTCCAGCTTCTCATCTTGGACTAGCCCATTAACCTTATCTCCTATGAACCTAAAATCCAGCTCCCAGAGGTACAAACCAATAACATTTCTTTTCTCCCTAAACTTTTGTTCAGTGTCTGGTTGTCAGTTTGTTGTTTTTTGACCCCTGAGGAATAATTCTCTCTTGTGCTTGCAAGCCTAAGTGTGTATCTAAAAACTATTTTTGTTGTATTTTAAGCTAACATTTTTAGACTAGAAAAGTGGCATTTCATAGCTTCTTAATATCTTTTATTTCAAGCTTTATGCATAAAATTATATTTTGAAACCTCAATTATATCACATTTCAAAAGCTTTTTGCAAAATAGAATGAATGTGCTTTTATATAATTAAAAATTTTTTTGAACAATTAAATTTTTTCTCTGTATATTTTAAGAATATTTTAAAATCTGAAATCTTTATATAATCATGCACACTGTATCTAAAAATTACTTGCTAGTTTAGATAATGAATTCAGTTCTAGGTCAGTTAGTCTAAAAAGATTTAAACTGGAACAACATTGCATAAAAATAAAACTAGAATATAAAAGAGGAAAAAAAATTTTTTGGCATACTTACTGGAAGGACAAAAAAAAAGTCCTGAGAATAAAAAATATATATATATTATAAATTCTTTCCTGTTCAACCAGCAGGTGTTATGTTTAGTTGAAAGAGCCTAAGATTATTATAAAGATATTTCCTTAGTATTACTGTGTACTTCTTACAAAATGAATGTGAAATATTACATATGATTGTCTCTGAAATCAGAAAAAAGATTTGTGGGTTTTTTTTTATTTTAATATACATTTCTCGAATGAAATCAGAAAGCATTTTTTTTTTTGTAAAGTTTATCCAAAAAGGTTTAGTACAAAGTATGTTCTAGATATAAGCAGACATATTTATACTTAACTACTCAAAATTATTTCTTCTCAGTACTTATTTTTTACTAATCAATATTATTTATGCATCATCTAAAAACATTTTTTCACTTTTAATTCCAAGATGATGTAATTATTCAACTAAAATAAAACTTTCTTTAGTTTTTTTAATTTCATAATCAAAGTCAAAATTTGTAATGATCCTCTTGCATTTGATTATTTATTGACATCAATTTCTATACATTATCACCATTCCTATTGTTTCTAAATTTCTTTATCTGTCATATGAGACATTGCAATAGATTATCTCTAAATTACTTTCTAATCTATTGTCATATAAAAAATCATTACATGTCACTCATATGTATTGTAGATATGTCAATGCAAATAAAGTATTTTTGAAATACATTGAAAAGCCTTTGTAATAGTCTGCATTTAAATATAAAGATGATAAAATTTTATAATATAATTTGATCTACTTATTTAAATGAAGGTTAGATTATAGTTTAATTTTTCAGTACCTGGAAAATAAATTGTGATAAACAGACATATTTTTAACAAGGTCGTGTAGTTTTTTTTTTTTTTTTAACATCAGGGTCAAGCTGCTTTAATAACCTTAAGCATATTTAATTACAAAAACAATCAGTTCTAGAAGTATGGCGACTTGCATTTATTACATACAGCCAATTACTCTCCTGGCAGTCAACAAAAAGCAGGATTAGACTTCAGGTAATGGAAATATGAAATGGAATTTATAAATAAGTATGCTTAAACAATTGAAATAATGCAATAAACAGTAGGCACATGTTTCATAGCACCCTATGGATTTGAAACTGAGAAGTAACTTAATGGCCGTCTTGTGAACCTAAACGGCTAATAGGTATTCACTATATACCTCTAGCGAAGAGAACTCATAGTCTATTTAGGGAAACAATTCCATATTTAGAGAGGATTGGTAGAACATTTCTACGTCAAAATATGTATTCTTTTAAAAGCCATTCACTGCTTATTTATCTTATTTCATAGATCTGTTAATATTTAGCCTGATTTTCTTTCTCAGTGATAGAGTTTCAATTCTTAAAAACTCCATTTGCTCATATTTGAGATTTTTTTTTCTTTTCCATGCTAAATAGTCTCTGGTTATGGCTTTATTCTCTTCTTGTTTCTATATAAATTCATTTTATTTTTAAAAATGTTGCTTAGAACTAAATATAATATTCCTTGTATTTATTCATCAGTCAAAAAACAAAAGCAACATCCCCAATCCTCATCTGCCTGTACCCACCCCCCACACACACGAACAAAATTGAGATTCTTAATTCAATCTAGATACCATCCTCTAATGAAAACACTTTAGGTTTACATCACTCACTTAAGTAGCTCATAATTTCACATATGTATGTATAGGTTTTGCATATGCATTTTTAACAAAAACCCTTAGCTCTTTATCGAAGCTACTACTACTAAATTCACCTCTTAATAATATTTTGTAAAATTTGTTCTCAAATACGATTTGTCAATGATGTTTTGGATGTTGGTTTCTTCATTGAGTATATTGTTTTCTTTTCATATAGATTTTGCTCTTAGTGTTGTGAACGTGAATATGAATTTGTGCTCTCATTTAGTAATAAGTGAAAATATCATACAAGATAAAATAATAAAATGAATGTGATGTTTCTTTTAGAGACCTCCTTCTATGCCACAATCTTTATATAGAATTGATAATCCATTTTCAATTGAACTGAATGAATATTTATAGAACTCTTTTTTAATGCATGCAATATTAATATAGGAGACTTTTTGAAATGTTACTAAAATTCAGATATTTAATTCAATGTAGATTTAATTTTACTGGCAAACTTATCAATAATTAAATTCATTTCATCACACATTATTTTTCCTGGTGAACCCCTCCAGGATAATAGAGACCATGACTCCCAGGCTTAGTGTTCAAAATCCATTCTTTAACTGTTTGTGATAAATTTTTATGAATCCACTCTCCTGCAATGCCTAGATAATAGGTGATGAAGAAATATGAAAAATCAGATTAGAGAAGTTCCTGCGCATAGAAAACAAGAAGGAAAAACCCAGGAAGACATTTAATATTTAATGTAATTTTTAAAAGGACAAAAAAACAGAAAAGATGTTGAACGAGGAGTGATAAATGTACAACTTATTAATTCATTGTCCAGTGAGAATTGCAAAGCTATTTAAGAAGTCTGAGAAAATGTAAGCAGTTTCTATGAAGACAGAAGCCATACCTCCTCATTCATTGTATCCTCAATGCCCAGTACAATGGCATTTAATAGACTCTCACCAAATATTGTTGATTTAATAAATAAATATAGTATTGCTAAAAAAAAAAAAATTGGAAGACTTGAAAAAAATCTGCATTTCAGAATATCAAGAAGTTAGACTTATAATTCTAAATGGTTTGTTCACTTTCTAATTTGGCAATTAAAGAAACATATTTTATATTTGTTATATGCACTTCACATATCCTTGACCAAAGTTCTTGTGTTATTGTTACATTTTGTTTGGTTAATTTCAAATTTATTGACGAAAGACATGGATAATATAAACAAAATTTTTAATTTTCAATGACTTTTTTTTGGACAGAGTTGATTAATCATTTGCTGATATACTCCTTTTGACTTCTAGGAGTCATATTTTTAATTTTTTTTCCTACTCACTCTTTTCCATTTGAGACCTTTATGGGGTTTCTTATCTCTTAATATCTCTTAATCTTGGACTGCCCCACTGCTCAGACCTAGTTTTCTTCTCTATCTACTCATACTCCCTTGATGATTTCATCAGTTTCATGGCTTTAAATTTAAAATCTATCTATAAATTTAAAATCTAACTATCTATAGTTAGCATCATCATATCTCCAGCCCTGTCCTTTCCTGAGTTCTAGACTAGTATGTCCCTTGATGTCTCCATTTAGGTCATTCAGATTGTTCAAAAATATCTTCCCGATCTTCTCTTCCAACATTGGAGCCTCCCATAGATATTCATCTGTTGATGGAAACACTATTCTTTTAGTTTTTAGGCCAAAAAACTTGTAGTCACCCTTGATTCTTTTCTTCCTCTCATACTGCTCATCCAATCAACCAGGATATCTTCTTACATCTATTCTCAAAATTCTTCAGAAAAATGATTACATTTTAATAATATGACTTTTCAAATATGAGTTACTTATGAAACACATAGTAGAAAGTGGTAAAATGGCCAAAAAGAATAAATGTGTTTAACTTATTATGTCATCATTCGAATTTAAGAAATCTTTCTGTTTTTAGGAAAAGCCTATGCTCCAGAATTCTATTATGATACCTACAATCCTGTGTGGCAAAACAGACATCGTGTTTATTCCTACAGTCTACAGTGGACACAAATGAATCCTGATGCAGTGGATCGGATTGTTGCATATCGTTTGGGTATTAGGCAGGTGAGAAATTTAATCAGTGTCTTTTTCTTCCTTTGCAATCCTCGAATGAAGACCTTGTTACTGTGATTTGTTGCTATAAATTTTTAATTATTTTGTGGGAATTCCAGAATGTATTCCAAAGATAATATTAATCTACACAGAACTATTCTCAATTATTTACAAATCTTTGAAATTAATTCATGCATATTCCACTATGACAGCAGACATATTGAAGTGGCATTCTTTGGTAAATTGCTATGAAAGAAACTTAAGATGCGCTTACACTTAACCTATATTGCATAATTCTTTCTCTTGTTTCCTAAGAAGCTAGAGGACTTACATTTTTGACTCTCAGGGGTTCAAAGTATATATAGGATGTTTTAAGAATTAATATGTATGAAAAATAGAAATATTTTAGTAAAATGAGAAGAAACAACCAAGTAGGATGTTTTTCTAAGGTAGCTGAAAATTATAGGTTATTTGAAAATATTATATCTGTTTCAAACAAACTACTGTTAAACTCAGTTATTCTTTGTTGGTATAAATGATATTTTTGAAATTTAGATGCTGGTCTTCCTTTACATTGTTTTCTGTTACATAGTATATTATCTGGAGTGACCATTTCCACATAACAAAACATTTTTGAAAATTTATTTGATTACCACTTAATCTATTAGATCTCCCTCACAATTTTATGTTATCCACATATGTGGAAAGTGCATTTTCCACTTCCTTAACTAAATTATAGAAAAGCATTTAGAGTGTGGACAGTGAAAAGGACAAAATTTGTTTGGAGAAAGACTGATCAACTATCAGCAATCCACTCAGGTATACTATCATAAAACCAGCTCTTTCTATCTTGTTCATAAAGTCATAATTAAAAATTATATAAGATATTTGATTCAAATTAAGATAAATTTGTGTTGAACATTTTTATCCTACATGTCTAATAACCTAAAAATATATTTTCCTAGTGCATACATCCTAGCATTTGATAATCACCTCTCTCTTGTCTAAGTATTCACAGGTCACTGACATAGCAGAGAGCAGTGGATCATTCAGAAAGTTTCTCTTTTATTATCATTTACTTCTGTTCCCAAGTAAATCTGAGTAAACTCAAAATCCACACCAAAATTGTTTTAATTTGATAATAATTTTTCTTGATAGAGAAAATATGAAAGAAAAAGATTAGCAGGTTTTCCTCCCTCAGCTATGGCCTTACTCCTTTCTTTTTCTTTTCTTAACACAGCTAATATTTTTAGATCTTTCATATTTGCAACATCTTAGAGCATTCTTGACTTTAGACATGTCACACTCAGTTTCCAAGTCCTTACCACATGATTTGGTCATTCATATTCATCTTTTATTATCTATATTATGAAAAAACTAAGAACATAATACCAAATAGATTTTTTATAAATTATTTTAAAAATCTTTTCCTTTTTTTTCTGGTTATAGGTTTATTTGCAATGATAAAGTCATAATTTTATCTTTAGTTTCTCACTTTCTTCCTCATTTATATTTACCTAAAATATCTGGGTAAGTGTCATTGCTCCCTGTGTACCGGAAGACTGCCTTTTTTAAATTCTGTGGAATTTACTCAGCTCTGCTCATCATTCTCTTCTTTTATACTAAGATTCCTTAAAAATTTTGTTTTCAGTGTCCCCATTGTGTATGCAAATCACCTTCTCTATAAATCAAAATTAACAGAAAAATAGTTACCACTGGAGTCTTCTGCCTTGAATAGATTTTAGCAGAATTGGACTTCCTCCTAAGAGAGATCCAGCTAATTAAAACCCTTCCTTTTCGTCCATATCTTGTGCTCATTATTAATAAACTACCTTCTGCAATATATTTTGCTAGATTGCTATGCTATTATCCAATGACAGTTTCTCTTCTCTGATCTTCCTTTTCTAACATGAGCCTCTCCTCTAACTTCTTGTCTTTTTGTTTCTCGTGATAAAACTAGTATTTAACTCCCTGACATGCAGTGACACACATTTTCCAGTTACTGTGTTGTTCCTCATGAACAAATTTGTTAGATAATTTCCACCTACTCTGGTACTTTAGAAGAAATCATATATGTGTGCATAGGTATATGTATATGTATAAATTTCCCCCTTACTATATTTTGCTAAAATTAATGAATTCCAGACACAACTGGCTTCCAATTCTAGCCTTATCATTTTTATTTATAATCTTGAGCAAATTTCTAAACATACCTAAGCCCAGTTTCCTATCTGGTAAATTGAAGATAATGATACCAATCAGACAGTTGGAGCATAGGGTGGAATATGTCCCCACTTGTCTCACAGGCTAAGTTACCTTGTGCATGGCACTCCTTGCACAAACATCTGTGGCAATTCTTACACTCATCCACCAGGGTTGTGTAAGGATTAAAGAAAAGAGAACATTTTAAGAACTTAACATGTCTAAAATTTTTATTTTAGTTCTGTTTAGTACACTGTATGTCCTCAGCCTATGTATTATTCTCAGCCACAATTTTTTTTAAAGTAATTTCTAGATCTTTTTTTCACTGTCTTATTTTTATTGCAAACCTCTTGTCCTCCATCAGATCCGTTTTACTGATTCGCATTTTTCTCTTTCACTTTGAGTCTTAGTTTAAAGCCTTTTGGATCGGATCAGTAAGTCTGCTGCTAATACTGTTCTTTCCAAGTTTGTGAGATTCATGGTCTCCACCAGAGGAAAACATATTTCTGATGTTATAAACCATGGTCCAGAAAACAATTACTTTCTCTTACACAGTTTTTGAAGCTAACTCTTTATTTGACATAGCATTCTTTTCTTTGTTCTTAAAGTTTCCTTTTATATTTAGAAATAACTATTATTTTTTCTAGGGTTCTTTTTTATAATGCTTTATTTTAACTAATAGTGTTAACTCAGATGCCATATATTGTCATGGAAGAGAAACTTCGATATATCTTTTTGGGATGTCTTAATAAAGAATAATGACTTTGTGCTGTTTCTGCCAATGTGAACAGGAAGGTCTTCTTTGTAGATACCATGTAACAGAAAGAGCATATATACATATTTCTCTTTTCCCCAAAACCACGTTCTCTACATTTAACCCTTATGTGAAAATCTTTACATGTAAAATCCCTCCATACACAACATTTCTTCTAAAGATCCCCTTATACACCCAAGTTCAGGATGATAAAGCAAAAACATTCTAGACAATGAAATTGATATAGTTCTTTGAGAGTATTCCATGTTTAATAATAAGAAACAAAAGTATTAATGCAAAATAAGGCTATATTTCTATATTATCTTAGGAAATTTAGATTGTTTCTCAGGTATGTACATTTAGATATCAACATTGTTTTAAGACACAATCAGATATTAGCATTTTAAAAAATCACTTTTGAATTCTGATCTGATGATCATTGCAATGACGATTTTGTAATATATGCATACGGCCTTTTTTATCTCCCAGACTATCTCAGAATCTTGAGTCAATGAGCTTTTCAATGTAATCAACATAAATTGGATGATGTTTAAATAAACAATGTTAGGAATATAAGCTAATCAACATGTTTTAAAAATGGATGTTTTTCCTTAATATTTAATATTTTTATCTTTCATTGTGAGACCAAGTTTTTTTCAAGGAATTATATATTTATGATTTTAAAGTCTTATTTTAGCCTATACTTTATTTTGAGCCTATGTATCTAAATAAAGTTTTTCAACCCATATCTTGGTTATCTAGTGCAGAGTACCTCGCCTTTTAATATCAAATGTGTCCTTAATTATGCAATACATTTTTGTATCAGATGATGTCTGAAAAACAAATTTGATCCTTTAAGATTAACGGCAAATTAGGTTCTAAAGAATCCTACTTTGTTTTTTATTCAGAAATTGTAAGAAACCTTATTAGCTAGTCTTAAATTAAGTAAGATTATAAAATCACTGCTAAGTTATTAAATCTATAGCTGGATGGGATTAGTAAACCTAACCTAGCATTCCTCCAGCTTTCTAATAAAATTAGCTGACTCTTGGTTAAACTGTATGGTCTATATTTAAATATATGAGGAAAGTTTTCTCAAAATTTGAGTATGGCTTATATACTTAAAACTTGCTGTGTATATAGAAAAAAAGCATTGGAATTCTGGAATCACTGCTTTAAGAAACTTAAAGAGAGAACAGATATATCACATGAAGTTTAAAAATTAACGTGTGGGAAAAAGTTTTCTCAAAATCATGTCCTTAAGTTACACTTTTTTAAACTCAGCTAAGCAATTGTTTAATCTCCTTAGACAGCTACTAGCCTCCCAATTATTTGCTTCATTTGTTGCTTAACAGAAAAGAGAAAAGGATTATTTGAATGTCTGCTTTCCTTTGTATCTAATGAATTGAGAAACAAACAAAACTCTTTCTAAGTTATCTGGAAATACCAAACAAAATAACATCATTTGACTCCATTTGAAATATACAAACTATAGTTTCTAATAATAAAGGATTTTGCAGTTTTATACAGTTTTCTTTCTTATACTCTGCCATAAAGACACACAATGAATGCAACTTTTTGACTATCATCTTTGGAAAATAGGATATTTTATTGAATATAAAATGCTTTAATTACCCCCGTTCCTGTCTTTTTAGGTCCTGATATATTAAAATGCTTAGAATTATCATATTCATTTGCTAACTCAGTCAATAAAACTTTGAGGAAGTTAATTATATAATAATTACCAGTATTTAAAAAAAAAAAACTATTGTCTTCTTTTTTTTAAAAAAAGAAGCATTTCAATAAGAATACATACAAAATGCCATAGAAACAGTTCTGAGAGTAGTTGGTACCATAAAGTAGTGAAGTTAAGTGATATGATTACCAAGGCGGAGACTGGTTTGTTTGTTAGTTTTTATAGGTTCAGACTCAAATTTTCTTCATAAATAGTAATCACTAATAATAACTAATCAAGAAAATACTAACCCCGAATATACTTTTTGGTGTAATTGATTAGTGGATGAATTTATTATAAATTTCATTTTGGTCTTCATAC